TCGGTCCACCCAGAAACGCATAGCAAAAATGAAACCCATTTTTGTGATCCTTATTCGGACCTCTACAACATGCAACAAATCATTTCCGAAAAGCGCGCCACGACCTGAAAGACCTCCCTTGTGAGTCGAAAAACCTCTCTTGGGCCAGCAAAAGCTGAAAAATCAGTTGACTTTTTCGATAACGTTACAGGTTTAATACTATCTCATCTTGAGATTTCAAAGAGCATTAAAACAAGCCGCAGGGCGAAGGGCGAGACCTCAGCTCAACATCAAAAATAGCCTTTATTCCCAATCCACATATGTTGATTAAAGACAGCCCCCGCGCTCAAGTGGTACATGGTCGTCCTTCATTGGGCAGGTAGTTCAGCTCCCATACTAGATACTGCCTCACTCTCGCGACTCCTCAGCGAGCGAGGAGCGAGCTAGAACCGCTCAAAGTTCTAGTTCTAACGCCTGCTCAGTTGGACCGCCTCACTAGCTAGCTGCCCTCTGACGGAGAGCCGCTCAGTTGTTCCTTGTTGGGACGGCAGTCATTAATCGGAACTGCATGTATTTTTTGCTGACCGCGCTCGTGCTCGTAAATAATTCTGCTCTCCTTCATCACATTTTATTCATTGGGAGCACGTACAGTCAACAGCAACCCATCTCGTAAGGTAAAACGCGTAAAAATCACGAATGATGCAATTTCTGTGGTGCAAAAGCTCGACGCACTTCACTACACTAAAACATGCTCGCTACCGTAACCCTAAGTTCGGACGCCGGCTTTTTAAATGTTTCCTTTTCTTTTCAAGAGTTTTTCCTCTATGTTTCTGTTGTTTTTTGTTTTCTTTTCTTCGCATTCGATGATATCCACTACTGGGAGATGTGACAAAGTGATTTGTGAGCCAGGGCTTGCACAGAGACCGCAGGGAGGTGTGACTGTCAGGGCGCGATTTTGTTTATGGTGTTCTTGAGGGCTCTTGTTTCTTTTTTCCTTCATTGAGGAATTACTTATCAGCTACTGTTTCATAATTGATCAGCAATTATCCTTGACACTTTTATCGCGGAGCTGTCTTTAAGTAGGGGGAAATGACCTACAAGCCCTGATCAATTTTGGCAATTTAAATCTTGGCGGGAAAGCTTTACTGCATTTGCATTCCATGGATGGTATTGGTGGGTTACGTGACATCTTGAACTTTTGTGCATGGTCCTGTTACGAAACCCTGTGACGCAGACGGATAGAGGGCAGCGGCTGCCAAAGCATCGAAACGTGCAAAAACGTATGGCGAGCCAGGAAACGGGATTTTTTTCAAGGGGAGGGGACTCCGGGGTGGGTGAGCTACTTATATCGGTGAAAAGCTGGAATGTGCGAAGTAACAACGGCCATAGAGAAGATAGACGCGCTCAAAGGGATTGAGTTTAAGTTGCCCGTAAACCCTATCAGTGACTCATCTTGATGGCCCCATTTCCCGTTGGTAATGAGGCACGAGGCGACTAAAAGATTCCTAAGCGTACTCAGGAATAAGGGAATAGGAAACGACCTGACTATGTTTGCTTGTCTGGGTCCTCTCACCGAGATAACGATCGCTCATGATCGTGGGTTGAGAATAAGCCTCGCCATGTGCTCCGGCTAATGCCGTTGAGTTTTGGCTGCTGGCTCATTTATGAAGTGCCTAGATCACCAAATTCACTGAAAACTTGTATACAGGGTAATTTAACATCCTGATTACGAGTATGACGCTCATTCTTGGCGCTGGCGCTAATGGAGGACGCTGCGATTTTCCTGGGCTCACATCAGCCTTAGCAGAGCGCAGATAATTGCAGTATGCATACTACATTAGCGCCAGCGCGAATGGCATATTCGTGATCACTATGTTGGCCCCAAATATGCCTGAAAGCTTCCCAATCAGGACCGTAGACTGGCTGAACTGCAATTTTTGTAACTTTTTTTCTCCACATCTACTGTTAGAAAAAGACAAACATCACTTTTGTTGCAACAATATATTCTTTTATACAATTTTCATGTGCATGATGTGACCATGATATATTGAAAGACTCAATATGTTACAAGCCAATAGTTCAAAATTATCATATTGACCAAAAAATTCATACAAAGAAATACCCAGTACAGGCACAGTATGGAAAAGAGAGAGATCGTCATATAAAGGATGGTTAATTTACATAGAAGTAAGTAATGCCTTCACACTGTAATGAGCTATACGAATACCAGATGAGAACAGAATGTGTTTCTCATTGAAAAAGCAAAAAAAAGTTCGTTTCAGAAATTCGATAGAGCGAATCGATAGAATGCTCTCAGATAACCGAGAAAGTGAGAGCATTGAAAAAGACCGGGATTGATACCAGAGCTAGACTTGGATTTCTTCGAGTGTGGGTGCATTTCCTGCAGAAGCCAAACTGCCTCGTGATGGATGTAATGACAGTACTGCTCGACCGTGACGTGGACAAGACGGTGAAACCCCGGCACGAACCGTCTTGTGCGACGCCGACAGCAAAGGCTCCTGAATTTGAAAGTTTCAGGGAAAATCTCAAAGTTTTGCTTCTCTGTTAAGAGCGATGGGTAATATTTTAAAACTTGCAGTTGAGCTATGGGCGGGGTCATCCACTGAAGACGCTGGGCCAACAACTCTGATGCATGTCAAACAGTGCCAGTAGTTCACAGTAGGTGCTGATTCGAGCTCCGCGCGGGTCGTGGCACCAACAAATTCAACTCCATCAATCTTCAAAGCATTTTACGATGGAAAGGCTCGGACCAAGGCTATTTCTGGGTTCAAGGGGTTTATCGTATTCCTGACGAGTTCTCCGGAAACTCTAGCTTTATGGAATGATTCGGACACCCTCCTGCTGCATGATTACTTATGTAGTTTTTTTGTGAATAATGTCAATTTTCGTGGTGTTCGCTCGTTAGGTTCAGGTTTTATGAGAAAGAGGGTGGAGTCTCAATCAGTGGGCGGAGCTTCAGGCATTTCGCAAGTGCTTACGTCAATTTCGAGCAGCGAAAGTGGCACACACATGCGGCAGCGGACCTGCTCACTTTAACGGGGAGAGTTTCACTGCGTAGCTGCCTTGAAATGATACAAATAATACCGGTTCAATTTTTGCAAAAGGGCCTCCTACGTAGTTACTCGGAACAGCAAACAAACAGCAACTTAAAAATTAAAGAAAAAACTATATATTAGAGAGAAAAACAGTACGCATATGCCTGTTATCCAGCAGAGAATGACTTGACCTCATAAAACTCTCGCATCTACAAGACTTCGTGGTACATATTTACAGTAACAATCCCTGCAAACGATAGGGTAGGCGACAGGAGCGTGGACTGGAACGCTGCCAAAGCAATGCGTCCAATGATGTCATCCTCAATCAGCAACCATTGGGGGCAGGACCTGCTGTAGCTGCGCTCCAGCTCACGCTCCTTCACAGGCCCTATCGTTTGCAGGGATCATGGCTATATATGCTGCATGTATTCTTTTAGATATCTGTTGCAATCCTTGCATCTCTGGGAGCTCGAGTGGGCTGTTAGCCTAGGCGTGCCCTACCAGATGTTGGTCAGGAGGTCCACGTGGCTGCAGGGCCGCGTCGCATAACAACTCTTCCGCGGCATATGAAAAGCACAAGAGTCACCACGCCGCTACGTACGTGTGGTCAAGTTTTATTCTATGCTACCCCTTAGCGTGTACCTCCTTACCAACCACGGCACGTCCCTTAGAAAAAGTTCTTTGCGAAGAACGATCCCCTTTCAGCTTTCTTCTTCTCTGCTCCCAAACTCACCTTCCCATCCTTGTCCGTACACTTACCACTATCCATGATGTTCTGGCCAAGAAACGCACCCACCTATGAGATACCAGAATCTCAAGACGCACCGATATTAACACCAGCGGTTTATACAAAATTCCCTGTTGGTTTGGCAATACCTCTAGGGTTTTTGTGGGAATGCTGAATTGAAGAACAAAAAAAGCAGGTGTCAAAATTGTGAGTGAAACGAAAAGATTACAAACACGAGGTTCATGTGAGACATGCCTGTTCCTGAAATGAGTGCCGTGGAATGACGTTAGTGACGACAGATTCTGCGGTGCCACTACCGCCCAGTGGAGCTGGAGCGAATATCGGTCGCTCAAACATGTCGTCGTTCACCGGCACAGCGTGCATAGCAGATGAGCTGAGCGTTATTGGAGGTGGTGGAGGTGGCATTAGTGAAAGCTGAACTCCACAGAAGCGGTTAGTCAAACAATGTGAACTTTTAACAAACGTGTTATTTTCCAAGTTCATGTTGTCTAAGTTATACATATTCTGATCAATGTTACTGGTTAGCTCTGCACTCAAAGACAATGGGCACGATGGCTGGGGCGGGCGGATACTGCCAACATCATTGGTGGAGGGTGTTTGGCCACACCCCACTCAGCCTCAGCCGTTCTAATAACGTTGGAAGTGAAACGCCCACACCTCGCCATCGTGCCCCATGCCCTTAATGAACAAATAACATTCTCTCATTGTGTTAAGGTAAGTGAGTGTATGGAAGTGGTGGAAGGCTCCCGAAAGATCAGATCAACGAGCGCTACACTGGTAAACTTATCTACTGTTTTACTCAACTGAATCCCAAAAATAACTACATTCGTAGGGTTGGTATTGGGCTGAACCAATTTTCAAATGCATTACGTCCTCTCATTTAAAAAATGTGGAACATATAGAGGATTAGCAGGGAAGCAAAAAGACAAGTTCATAAGTTCAGGAAAGCAAAGTTATAACAGTACTCCCGGAAACTGCGCGTGAAGTTAGACGTGTCATGCTACTGAGGTCGAATCACGAGTGTTGGGTAAAACGGGTGAAATACGCTAGCCCAATTCGTATCAGCAACGAGTGCAATGGTACCACTCAAACAACGGCCAGGCGACAGCTGGCTGCAGGTGGAGGGCGGAATCAGCGTTCCTAGCCTCATCCTGAAGCTTCTTTCGTGATAAACATGGGTAACTAAAGCGGCTCGCAGTATGCCCAGTGACTTGCGCGAAGGGTCCAACACATTTAATTTCACGCGCAATTTTTGGGGGTACTATATACATCCAGTTTTCCTGAACTTATGATCTTGCAGCAAATATCGGGGGGATATCCCACAGGATATCCCACATAATTTAGAAGCTGATAGGGTTAGCTATGTATTCATGAAAATTGGTCAGCATATGGAGTTTTCAGTTGTCACAAACTCGTGCTTGTAGACCCTTCAGAAACAGTGAGAGCCAAAACCAGTCGAGCTGACAGCGATTGCTAGAGAGAGCTCACCGGCAGGAGCAGGAGTAAAAATCGGAGATCAGAACCTAGTAGGCTAGCGTCCTGCCCCAAGCGGACTTCTGTTCCGACTTCTAAGTAAAGTTTCCAGCGCACAGAAGTCTTTCGAGAAGTTGAGGCAGAATGCGTTGGGAGGGGGGGGGATGGGAATTTCATTCCAGTCTTCCGTCAGTCTTGCACAGATCGACTGTTCGTATACTTGACACAATAAATTGTAACCCCCAAACTATCCGTCAATTAGCCATGAGAAGCGGCAATTTATAAGGGCTCAGTTTAAATAAAAAAGCTGTAAGGCTTAGAAAACTGTACCGGTGAGTTGGGATTGTTGTACTGATCAGGGACTGACGCCTGATTTGAAGCGTAAGTTTGGTACTGCAGTTGCAATTTCTTCTTTGATCGCTTATTCTTGTCACACTGAACTTGTTGGTTTATGAAATAACAACACATTTAATGAGTAGTAATTGATGATTTTATAATAACTAGAGAGGTACCTGACTTAATCCGAAAAATACGCCAGATATTCAAAAAATAGAATACCATCCTACAGCTACCGTTACTGATAGCATGGTACTGTACTGACTAGTAGCTACAGCTGAATTGTCATGCGGTGGTGGTGGAGTCGCCGATGGCGGTTTCACTGAAACAGAAGAAAATGAAGTGAATATTTGCATGCTGAACGGTACTTTACTTTTGTTTCGCTGTTGAAATCGGACTACTTAAACCCGTCGTGCGTAAGATTGACTTGTACGATTCTTATTAGAGACGAGTCAGCGTTTATGGTCGCGGGCGGAGAAGGCAAACAATTGACATTTGTCATTGCTCTTTCCGGTGCCTACGTATTTGGGGGGACCACGCGGCGAGCGGCGAGCGATGACTCATCCGCTCTTCTGCTCCCTCCTCGGCAAAAAAGAAGTAATTTCATGTTTAGGACATGGATAAACACCGTCCTAGCTATATTCAAAAGCTAAAACAGTTAAGGCTGAAAAGTGCGAAGAAACAGTTGTAGGCTGGAAGCTTTTGCCTAAAATACAACGATTGTTGCCTTTTTGTTGATTCTTGACTATAAAAGATCAAATATTTGTTGTTTTCAGCCGTCTGTAGGTTTCCCAGGCAAGTCCCGCGTAAAGCTCATGTTTGTTGATTCTACTTTGATGCTAGAATCGCCCTTCAAGTATGCGATGGGTGAAGAGTTCGGTTGATACATCACTGCGTCGCGCGCCGCGTGGTGGGGATCCCCCCAAATACGTTAGCACCCTCTTTCCTTCACAATCTCAACGGCGCCCTGCGTGTGAATAGGGACGGCACAACTGCGGCCTGTCTCCGCCCACTTATCTAGTGGGGACTGTTCTCTAAATCAGTTGTATCAACAGTGTTGATGACAATGATGATAACATGTAGCTAACTCTGAATAGCTAACGCTGGATCAAGTAAAAAGGGTTACCCGTACAAACTGTGCCGCGATGGTGCTTAGTTTAAAATGGGTGGAAGCAATATGAAATTTCTTTTTTTTTTGGCGAAAAAAAAAGTTCACGGGCTAAAAAGGCACGCAGCAAGGACAGTCGGCCTTCAACCGGCTTATTTGATGCAGGGAAAGTTTAAGAGACTAAGGAGTCAAACCAGGAGAAAAGTGTTAAGGTATCCCAGCTGTACGTGGTTTGCAAAGGGCTTACAACAATTTTGGACAGTGCCGAGCTAGCCAAAAAGAAAGTAACTAACAAATGGTCATGTTGTCAGAACTTACTAGTGTGAGTCCTCTTTATGTTTCCGGTGGAGGTGACGGTGGCAGTGGTGGAGCCGGGAATGGATGATTCGCATACGGTGCGAATGACCTCACTCGACCGAAAAACGAGTCCTTTCGGAAGTGGTCCGGCAGTAGATGATGTTCCTGAAGAAAACACTGAAGAAAAAGAGCTGGAACTCTTCAGCATCTCCACAGATTAATGAAAAACCATCACTTAATTGCATAGTTTATGCTGGACGTGTAGGCAGGAGATAGTCGGTTCCCTTTAGCCTCCCCAAGGACGACAAAGCTTAGTCAAAATTGGCGATCTTGGGCAAAAGAGAATCAAAAGAGATACGTGTCAATCGAGAGAATGAGAAAGTAGGGGAGCCGAATAGTAAAATATTGGGAGAACTAGCAATAAGAGTAAGATGGCATTGATTTTTGTCGACCCCGGCTAACTGGGGAATCGTGTCGTGGAGAAGTGTGTGATGTGAATGTGTAGAATCATCAATCCCTCGGTCTTTTCGATCACGCCTGACCAACCCTTTACGGACTACGGTGCCGACGGTTCTGCGAACTAGCAACATGAACGGGCCGGCCAGGTATGGTTGACTAAATCCACCCCCAAATCAGCGTGGACTATGTGAGGTCACAGTGTTCAACTGCCTCCTCCCCTGCAATCAACGTAGCCTACGCCCGACTGTGTTGTAGATAGAGCTAAGTAAAGGCACAGAGCGCGATTGTTGGGAGCGTGTTGGGGCCAACGTCACTGAAATAAGGCCTGTGTGGAGTGTGGCCCAACGCCCTCTCGCAGCCTGACGTCGGCAACAACCAACCGCAGTCTTGCCCACCCCTTTCAGTTATAAGGAACACTCATAATAGAAAGGAGGATGGAAAACCACTTCAACTCGAAACTGAGTTCGAACTGACCTCAGGTATATCTCACCTTCCTTTCCAGCGGAGTGGCAATCACCGAAGTTTCGCGCCGCCTAAAAAAAAAAAAAAAAAAAAAAAAAAAAAAAAAAAAAAAAAAAAAAAAAAAAAAAAAAAAAAAAAAAAAAAAAAAAAAAAAAAAAAAAAAAAAAAAAAAAAAAAAAAAAACCCTTAGTCCAAAATCCCACTCGAGCGTTTCGATAGTAGTTCTTCACGCGTGGTCGATCGGCTGTAATAGGATTCTCCAGCAACCTTTTTGTGAATCGATATGGAAAATATGGGTAACTCTTACTGATTTCAAGATACGCTTCGCGATTTGGTTGATCAAACTGGGGCCATGCTGTCGAATGAAACGCGTCACCCATAGGGGAACGATTTCTGCATAGACGCTGGCTTTGACGGGTCGCTGAAAAATAATTTTTAGAAGATAACCTTTGATTTTCGGGAGAGAATGCATACCCGGACTTGACGAAATTCGCTACATAATGCATCATAACCTGAGAAATTCCTCGATCCTCAGCGCTGAACCCAGAATAGAGCTGGAAAAGTTAGACACTTTCTTTGTACACATTCAGACCCATGATAATTTCAGCGTCCACAATTCAACAAAATGAAGGGTGAAGGCATGATGGCTGGGGGCGGGCTGTTACTTCCAGCGTCATTGGTGGAAGAGCTGAGTGAGAAGTGGCAAGCAATCTCTCGCAGCCCACCGAAGACGTTGCTGTAACTGCCGCCCAGCATTGTGCCCGACTACCTTCCGAAAGATAATAATAAGGTGAAAGTGTATTTTTACACAGGTATAGTTTCCTACCTTTTTCTTCACTATCGCCAGTGGCCAGCGGATAACGAAAAAAATATACGGTATGTGATCACCCGTTAATGATCCTCTCAAACCCCGAAATTGGGTTGCTCGTTCATCCATGAACGAGTTTCGTGTCCAAATACGAACCTAAATCTTATCACTAAGCGCCGTGGTGAGAAAATTCCTGTAGAAGCAGGACACATAAATGTGATGGAAAAATGTGATCCTGTTACGAACCCCCTCCCCTCCAACACAGGGTGTCTAGCACGCGTCAAAAGGCCCATCGTACGGCCCGCTAGTTTGGTCATTAGTGACATGTTGCGCGACATTTGTATGGGCGGGAAGGAGGCGGGGATACACAGCCATTTTGTCTTTCTTCTTGCCTTCCACTTCCACACATCCCTTCCTCCGGTAAGGTTAAGAGGAGAAGCGCTCAGCGAAAGCACAATGTTTAGGGTCTCCGCCCATCCAATTATCGAAGAACGTGCCTCTTACTGGGAACATGCATACTGAATTCCTAGTAATGAGCGAGTCAGGGCTAGTTGTGTTGTAAGATTGAAAACAAATTCTACAATAAATCGTGAAAGAGTTCTCAGATAGCAGAGTTTGAAGAACAAACAGCGAGTACTTGTTGACTTTCCTGACAAGAGAAGAGAAGAAGAAAGAGAGAAAATGCCCCAAATAAGGTCCGCCCTGCTCCATGTGTAAGACATGGGGATCCGGGCCATGGGGGGGGGCAGGCAAATGCAGCGAGAGCATGCAAACGAGCCAGGCGACAGATCAGCCACCAGCTACTGACCCGCACGGACTAATTCGAAAACCTTGCCCCTAAACGCGCCTATCTCACAATTTTCTGGCGCAACACGTGTACTTAGTTGTCCATTCCGGTCCACACTGTTTCTTTCGCGAAGGATCTGCAATTCCCACGGTCGCAAGGTGTGCCTTCAGTGTACTTATGAAGGCTATGAGTAGTGACAGGGATGCAGAGCTTCATATCGACAAAAACCTATTACTTTGTAACAACCCATCGTTGTACATGGCGCATCGCAGTAGGGAATTATTGGGTTGTTCGGAAAGAAATGCGCGTTGAATTTGTCCATTTATTTCTCTCCTACTATAGAAGATTTTTCAAAACAGTTTTGTCTATTAGAAAGAGATTTTTATTGTGCATCTTTTGATATATTTTTGTCTATGTCTACTTTGCTTTTTTTTGAAGAAAAAAAGTTGGGAAGAGCGGGTGCCGCACCAGCTGAGCGACGCAAACAAGGCAACACGAGTGGCAATGGCCGGAATTCTTCTTCGTCGCTCCAAGAACAGCGGTTTCTTCGACTCTATTGTTGAGACATGGATCTGCTACGACAACGCACGAAAAAGACAGTGGTTAGACGCCGGTGACACTCCAAAACCGACTCCGAAACCGGATATACACGGCAAAAAGGTGATGCTCTGTGTTTGGTGGAACAGCAAAGGTTTGGTGTACTTTGAAGTACTGGATTCGGGTCAAACAGTTACGGCGGACATCTACAAAGATCAATTGAACCGCGTGGATCAAGCACTGCGTCGTCAAGGTGTCGAAACGACGTCGACAAAATTCCTCCACGACAACGCTCGTCCACATGTCGCGAAAATCACTTTGGAAAAAATTGAGGAATTGGGCTGGGAAGTCCTGCCTCATCCGCCATACAGCCCAGACCTGGCACCATCCGATTACCATCTGTTCCGGTCGATGCAGCACTCCCTGGCCGAGAGAAAGTTCACAAACCGCGAAGAAGTCCAACTACTTTGAGTCGCAGCCGGCCGAGTTCTTCGAAAGAGGAATCCATTCTTTGCATAAACGTTGGCAACAAGTCATTGATAGTAATGGAGATTATCTTTTGAATTGATCTTGTTTAATTTCGTTTTTATAATAAAAAATTTTTTAGACTCAAACGCGCATTCCTTTCCGAACAACCTAATAGATAACACTAGCACCCGTTCTTTGTTTCACCAATGAGAGTATGTGCCGGCATGGATCGCACATATGATTCGTGAATTTTCACTTACAAAATACAAATTCTACAAGTAAAAAGCAAAATTTGCACTTACATGAATGTGTTTGCCTCCTTCCGAACTTCATCAGCACTGTGCATACGTAGTGTTTCAATCAATGGTGCAGTGAACAGAACATCATTCAAGACTGCAAGGACACCATTCCGTATTGACTTGGGATGGTCCTGCAAACAAAAGACCTATCAGCCTACGTTCAGTAGTACTGTACTAATCAATCAAGAGGTAAGCAAAAACGATCGAAGGGTCAAGGCTTTCATTCACTCCTTATGGGCAGCAGACTCGTCTGTGAGGGACAAACTCCGAAAAGTACATCTGTTTGCGCGAGAAAGTCATTGATTAGGCCAAGAAAGCGCGCTTGAAAGGGATGGACGAAAGAAGAGCCGTCCAAGCACTGGGAACTGTTTGTCTTGTAGATTAGATTGCTTTTTGAGGTTTGGATGGGAGTCCAAGTGCGTGGCGCATCCCAAGAACAGTTCCCAAGAACGGATGGATCGATGGTGAATGCTTTGGTCTTTTAACTTTTACATACCACGAGCCAAAATATGATCGTAGAGCAATCAGCTCTTGCAGTATCAAAAAAGCTATCGCAGGAAAAACTTAAAGGCAGTTGGCACGATAACCCCCAAGACGACTAGGATCAATACTCCTGGCAGGATAGAATTCCGCGACCCTGGGCAGGCGCTGCATAGCGGTTTCCCCGAGGAAGGTGCCCTTATAAGGGCCCTATCAAGCCACAACTTTACGTCCCAAACGCCCGCCCACAAATGGACGACCGTTCCTGACGCTCGTATTCATTCATTTGCTAAGCAAATTATGAAGCGAAGGGATTGGTATGAAGCGGCCGTGATGCTGCATGCATACATGGGTACACATATGCAGCCGTATCTTCGGTAGCGGTGATTGGTAAGATGCCTACGGGAAACTCGTCCGAAATCGATTTTCAAGTCACTGAGAACGGAGGCTTTTTCTTCGCAGGATTTTGACCGTTTCACTCCGTTCTTTCGCCATTTCCCCACTATACAGCACCTACTAGCATTTTGGGCTAAGTAGGAGACCATCGTGCCAATTACCTTCATGGAGTTGGTA